AGTAGGAGGAGACAGGGGTTCGAGGGGCGGCATGGCTAGAGCAGCTGTAGGATCCGAAGATGTCGACACTATCCTACGAAGGAACGTGACTTCCTGCCGTAGGACGTCCCTCTCCTTGCCCGTTGTTCTCACAATGTCTAACAGCTCAGCAGTCTGAAAATATAATAAGAGCAAAATGCTTAATGTGGGTTTGATCATCAGCGAGCTCTTTCATTGCAAAAAGACTGGATATTGTTACACCATGTTGCATTAGAAGAAAAGATATGTAATGTAAAGAGCGTGGCCACAAAACGAAGATTCCAGCAGTTACTATCTCTGAACTGGAGAGAGGCTAACTACAACATCAACAAAAAACTATGCAGAGGATAACTAGCTACTACGAACATACAAGTGGTTTGATCTTTATTCTGCAAAGAAGTGGTTCAGCCATCTCAAAGGAGCCACGAGGAGGACATGCTGTTAAGAGCGAGCACCGACAAGCGACCTCCAGCCCACCTGTGGGAGAGCGACTGTATCCTGTCGTCCAACATGTGAGAGTACTTGTCGACGTTGTCGAGCCTGTTGTAGACGGCGCCAAGGACCAGGTGCTGCATGACGCAGTTGTCGCACTGGGCCCTCTCCCTCGCCGATAGCCTGTCGATGCGGGCCGCTTGCTTGTTGATGTCCAGCTGAAGGCCCTGCAGCGCGTCCTCGAGAGAGTCCATTATCATCGTCCAGTTCACGCATCTTTCACAGTCCTCGTCTTCGCAGGGTTCTTCTTGCTTGGCCTCTGAACTGTCCTCCTCCCTCCTTTCGCCCTTTCCTGCGTCCTTCTCTTTGGTCTCTGCCTCTCCCTCCGTGCCGTCGGCGCTCCCACGGCTGTCGTCGGGCTCCCCCTTTCCTTCGTCGGCGCCTTCCTTTTCGCCGTCGCCGTTTCCCTGCGCGTCGCCGCCGTCTTCGCCTGGCTCGCCGTCCCTTCCTGCAGCGTCATCTCCGTCATTGGCGTCGCCGTCTCCATCTTTAGGGTCATCGTCCCCCCCTTTGGGGCTGTCGTTCTCCTCTTCCGCGTCGTCGTCTTTCTTGTCGTCATCTCCGCCTTTGGCTTCGCTCTTCCCCTCTTCTGCGTCCTCTTCTCCTGTCTTGTCGTCCTCTCCGCCTTTGGCGTCGCCAGTCCCCTCCTCCGCACCGCCATTGCTGGCTTTTATATCTTTATCCAGATCTTCCTCTTTATCACCTCGTTTTGTCTCTTCCTTTTCCCCTTTCGAAGTTTCCTCGGCTGTTTTTACAACATCCGTTGCTTCGGATTCCCTCTCCACTACCTCCTTTCCCTGGCCGGCAGTCCCGCGCGAGGCGTCTCTACCCTTCTCGCTGTCGGCGGCAGGAGTCGTAGAAGTCGCAGACGGAAGCCCACTGTCGGAATCCTCCAGAGCTTTCAAGTCCTTGCTGGCTGCATCGGGCGCTTCTTTGAAGGGCTGAGTTTTCTGGTCGGGGCTTGAGGTGCTCAGAGCCGCCAGACCCCGTCCAACCTCATCCAAGCACACCCTGGAAAACCACAACCTCCTTTGAGAAAAGTCTCATACATACCTTGCTCTCCGCACTTGCCGCCGTGGCCTCTGCCTGCTTCAGCTTCTCGAGGGCCTGTTGGTAAAGCCCTCCCTGGTACCTCGCCCTCTGCTGCTCCCGGGCCACCTCCTCCTGGATCCGGTCGAGAGCCTGCTGGACGCGGGCTCCTCCCTGCTCTAACCGAGCTCGCTCCGCCCTGTTTCCCAGACATTCGGCCTTCGCGTTAAAATTCTTCTACCTGCTTTAAGGCCTCATTGCACACCAAAACTTCACTTATATTAGGAAAATGCAGAAGTGAGAGAATCAATAATGCTGCAGAAAATTGGTAAATTCCCCATCTGTTTCATGAGAAATATCCTTTAGAAATGGTTGAAATCAGTTTATAATACATTACAATGAAACAAAATCTTCATACAACTTTCAAATCAAACAAACTTTTACCCTTCTTATCAAACGTACAAATATCCCCTCTAAATTATCACCCAATGAAAGACACAAATGACACACAGGTACCGGAATGAACAACAAACGAACCATTCAACGAAACGAATGAAACCTCAACGTGAAACAATAACAAAACACCAACGAAAGAAACGAAACCAAAAAGAGGAAATAAACCTCACCGATACTTCTCGTTGTCCTCCGCCAGCTGCTGCCTCATGCGCTCCACCTCCGCCTTCAGGCTCTTCATGGCCTCGCTCTGCTGGTCCGCCGCCTCACGCAGCTTCATCACTTCGTCTTCTGCGGGCGAGAGAGGCTTCGCTTTCAGGGTTTCCTTGTGTTCTAGTATGTGAATGCTTTTTAATATAGTATGCGTCTGTGCGTGTGTGTGTGTGTGTGTGTGTGTGTGTGTGTGTGTGTGTGTGTGTGTGTGTGTGTGTGTGTGTGTGTGTGTGTGTGTGTGTGTGTGTGTGTGTGTGTACATGTATGAATGGATATGTGTTTATTATTTTATTCG